CAGGGCCGGGCAGAGGCGCCGGGGTTCCGCGCGGGGGCCGCACGGGGGAGGCCGCACATCCCGCAGCCGGGCGGGCGCGGGGTCGGCGGGGACAGGCGAGCGCCACCCGTCCGTCCCTGCGCGACGTGGGGAGCGCGTCTCCGCGGGATGCCTTATCTCTAGAAACTTCCCTCTCCAAAAGGCATGGCTTCCCAAAGCCCCCCGCGGGCTTTGCCCACAGAACTCTGGACGAAAGGTAGTTTGATGAGTGAATTCGGGAGCCAGACCCAAACAAATGTTGAGTCAACCGGTTGCGCCTCTCTGGGCCTCGGTGTGTGTTGGCTGTCCTTTCTCTGCCCTCTTAAATCAGAAGCAAGAAAGTCGAGTCCACTTTAATCCAAAGAGATCCCATCTTTAGGACTGAGAAGGGCTGGGGATGCAGGGCCGCCGCAGAGCGCGTGGCCTGGCATGTGCAAGGCCCTGCGTTCAGAAAAAAGAACAGAGGAGCAGGACGGGAGTGGGGGACCTAAAGCCAAAAAATGAGAGCGAGTCACGTGCCAGGGCCACTCGGAAGAGTAGGCTGTAGCGGCCGGCTTTGGGCCTCCCCAGCCTGGTGCGGGTGCTGTCACAGCCTCGTTTTACCCAGAAAGTAAAACTGAGGCCCAGAGGCTCCACGTAATGCACCACTCTAGTAGTGGGGACAGGAGCTGAACCCCGTCTATCATTTCCCATTGCCTCCTGTATGTGCCTGTATGTGCCCGGCACCCTCTGCCGCTGGGGCAGCGGGACCAGCAGCATCTGTTAGGTCTGTGACTTCAGGTTTTCTTTATGCACAGGCTTGCCTGAGATTCATACAGTATACCTGGAAGATTCCTGAGCCAATAACTTGCAGCTACACCAGTGTGTGTCAGGTTTGTTCTCAGCGATTTACTGCAGATAGTAACACATTCGGCCTTCCAATCAAGCCCATGAATTGGGTTATATTTCCGTACAGGGTAATGAAGCAACATGCCCAAGATCACACAGAAAGATCGAATAGGGTTTACGCCCACAACCACTATCTGTACCTAGTCCCTCTAATGAGACGGACAGGTGCTGCTTGTAGTCTCTCAGATGGACATAGTTACAGGAAATCAGGGACAGGTATGATGACAGCATTCAGTACCACCTAATGCTCAATCCACACTGAAGTTTCTCTGATTATCTCTATGATATTTTTATGCCATTGGTTTGTTCAAGTCCGGATCCAGACCACATCTGCACCCACCACTTGGCAGTTCTGTTTTGAGTTGTTTTCTTCTAAAGTAATCTCTTCCTCTTTCTTTCTATGTAATTAACTTGTCAGAATGATTTCCTTTTAAAATATAATTAAAGTAAGAGGTTAGCAAGATAAAGCAGAGAACATTCTAGATTATCCCTGAAATATGAGAGCTTCATCAGTACCTAGGGCAACTCGGGAATATGCTAAACACACAACACCTACCTTTTATCTTGTGCGCATTGCTAGGGAGAAGTAAGAACCCTCCAGGTTTCATGTTGTCCCTGCTAGGACTCTATGACTTACACCACAGTCAGTACAGGAAAGTGCACTTTGAAAATCTCTGCGATATTTTTTGGTTTTCATCCTTTGTTCCTGGTTTATAACTCCTTCTCTCAGCAGGTCATAGATGCTAGAATATCTTTCCCAAGGCAGGTAATGGAAACATTCATTTTCTAGGTACCATGGGGCCACTGACTATAATGAAATTGGTTGACCTACTTTATCTGATAGATTATAAAGCCCCTATTCCAGAAGAGGTCCTGCCCCGTACCCTCGGGGAAGGATTGCTGCACAGCGTGGCCAGAAAGAATCTAAACAGACAGGCCCTTTTTGGGGTTTCCCTGCCTGGTCTGTTAGCACAGACCTGGTGGTGCTGAGAGGTGGGATCCCTGGAGAGGACATGGAAACCCCATACCCCTTCCCTCATACCCCATCTCTTCCTCTGTATCCTTTGTAATAAACCAGCAAATGTGTTTCCCTGAGTGCTACAGGCAAATTAATTGAACAAGAGGATCATGGGAACCTGATTTATAGCTGCTTGGTCAGTGAAACAACTTGGGGCAGGAAAGTGGTATGAGGACATCCTAGCGGACCGAGAGCTCGGGCTATGGGACCTAGTGCCATCTCCAGGTGGGAGGTGGCAGAATTGAATTGAATTAGGGGTACCCCACTGGTGTCTGCTGCAGAACTGACTGATGGCCTGCTCCTGAGGAGAAGTCCTCACAGTTTTTGGGATCACCAAAGCCTCTTGCAGTGATAGGGGGTCGAGAGTAAAGGAAGCAGAACTTTTTCCTCAACAGAATCCCCAAAGCCTCGAGCAGGGAAAGGAGTTAACGCTTAACGCGTCAGTGCCTGCTCCCAAATGCCCCCGGTGGCTCCAAGTCAGGGAGTCTTGAGCTCCCTTGCCAGGCTGATTTGAATTCATTGCCCAATAGACTTCAAGGCAGGGCCGCTTCCTCCAAGGCTGCATCAGCAGGACTGGCAAAGACAGCAGGTGACTGCTGCCCAGCCTGGCCCAGCCACAGTCCTGAGCCTGAGGGTGGGCTTGGGGGCTTTGATATCTTTTTTTTTTTTTTTTTTTTTTTGTCTTTTTGAGACAGGGTCTCGTTATGCAGTTCAGGCTGGCCTTGAGCTCACTTTGTAGGCCAGGCTGGTCTTGAACTCGCAACGATCCTCCTGGCTCAGCCTCCTGAGTGCTGGGATTATAGGCATGCACCACCACGCCCAGCTGGGGCTTTGACATCTTGCTTTGCAAAGATGATTCTCGGTCCTGTGCCCCTGGTTTCCCCTACCAACTGGGTACTAGGGTTAGCTGGAAGATAGATTTCGGGGTACCTCTCTCTGCAATGAAAGTGGGGAGCTCCCTTTATTTTCAGGACTGGAGTTTGAACCCAAGACCTACTGCATGCTAGACCAGTGTTCTACCACTGAGCTGCCACCCTAGCCCCTTCTTAAATTTGGAGACAGGTTGCACTAAGTTGTCCAGGCTGGGCTGAGCCTGCTGTCCTCTTGCCTCAGCCCCTCAGAGTGCTGGGATTACTGATGCGTGCCACCATGCCTGGCTCCCAGCCCTTTTTATTTTATTTGGAGACAGGGTTTTGCTAAGTTGCCCAGGATGGCCTTGAACTTGCCATCCTCCTGCCTCAGCCTTCAGAGTAGCTGGGGTTAGAGGTTGGCACTACCACACCTGGTTCACACCTCCTTAAGCCAGCCAAAATAACCAATCTATGGTTACCAAGTAATAAAAGTCTATTGTAGATTATCAGAAAGATAAATCAATGCACTCATAAGAGAAGGAAATTTATCTTTAAAATTAAAAAAAAAAAAAAAAAAGAAGGAAATACCAGGCACCTGGCCCTGGAAAAACAAACACTAACATTTGGGGTATATCCTTCCACATTCTTTCTCCATGTACTTGTATATTTTTAAAAATAGCTTTGTTTGTTTTTTAATTTTTTAATTTTTGGGTTTTTTTGAAACGGTTTCACTATGTACTTCAGGTTGGCTTTGAACTCAAGTACGTAGCTCAGGCTGGCCTCAAACTTCTGGCAGTCCTGCCTCAGGCTCCCAAGTACTGGGATTACAGGTGTGTGCTACCATACCCCACTAAAAAAAAATAGCTTTATTAAGATAACAGTCTTGTACCTTAAAGTTTGCACTTTCTTTTTTTTTTTTTTTTCCCTTTTTGAGACAGGGTCTGGCTATGCAGTTCAGGCTGGCCTTGAGCTCACTTTGTAGCCCAGGCTAGTCTCGAACTTGCAATGATCCTCCTGCCTCAGCCTCCC